GCAGTGTTGATTTACATGTTGGACATGTTTAAATGATGCCTATTTTCTAGATATTGTGCCTAATGTTTTGTATTTTATTAATGATAGGATAGACAAAGGGAATATGTGTGTGAAAATAAAAAATCAGTCTGTAAGAATTTTTTGCTTTTAATCAAACTGTATCAGTGATCTAAAATAATTCTGGCTTATTACACTTTGGTCTCATTTGAGTGGTGTTGTCAATTAGTCCTCAATAATAACATTGTATTCACCAAGTAAATAATTGATATATGGAAAAACAGGGACATCACTAAAAAAATAAGTCAGATGGCGCTTCACCCTCACAAGGTTGATTGGCGGGGAGTCTATACATTTACATGGGTTTTGTTGACTTGGAGAATGCTTACAATGGTGTTCCCCTGGAAGCCCTGTGGGGGGCGGTGGGGCACTAGAGGAGTATGCAGTACTGGGCTGTAGCTACGAGCCAAGTGAGAGGTGTGTCCTTATTCTCTGCAGGAAGTAAAAAATAAAAATAAAAATACATCAGTATTTAATTTGACTCCGCCAGGGTTGTACCTTTCCCTGAGTTTGATTTTTCCTGGACAGGATCTTGGGGTGCAGCCAGGAAGAAGACAGCATCTGGTTTTGGGGACCTCAGTATTGCTTCTCTGTTCTTAGCAGATGATGCAGTTCTGTTGGCTTCATCAAACTGTGATCAGATGAAGAATCTTGGGGTCTCGCTCACCAGATTAGGTAAAATGGAGCGTGAGCTGGATAGGCAGATTGGTCCGGCATCAGCAGTAATGGTGGGGGCTGTACTGGACCATTGTGGTGAAGAGGTTGTTGAGCCAGAAGGCAAAGCTTTGATTTACCAGCCTATCAACGTTACGACCCTTACCTATGGTCATGAGCGGTCCGAAAGAATGAGATTGTAGATACAATGACGAATTACATGAATTACATGACTTTCCCCCGCAGGGGGGCTGGGCTCATCCTTAGAGATAGGAGAACTTGCACTTGCATCAGTGGCTGACTAAATACATTTTGGCCCCACTGTATACAGTAAAAGAAAGCCAAATTACATTTTGACCATCGGGTGCTGTATAAGTCATTTCTCAATCTCCATGGCAAAGTCAGACTTTCCATCTCAAGGCTTTCTTTTACGGTTTTAAGCCAATTATCTATTGTATGTGGGTCAGTCATTTCTGAGTGATTGCTTTCTTTGCTGCTGCAGTCATTATTTTCAGGAGATATCGGTCATTTTGTGTTACTTGTTCTGGTATGTCTTGCCATCCCCATATTTTCTCCAGCAGTTATGGTCTACAGATGTTAGATATTCTTGTCAATACACGTGCCGCAGCACTCTGGATCAACTGGAGGGTCTTAAGGGACTAATTTTGGCAGACTGATAAGGAATTGCAATTATCCAGGCTAGAAGTAACAAATGCATATGTATCAGTTTTTCTGCATCATTTTCAGACAAGACATTCCTGATTTCTGCAATATTACATACAGTCATGGCCGAAAATATGGGCAACCCTGCATGTCTGTCACGTAAAGCACTACTTCTCCCTGAAAACTGTTGCAATTATAAATGCTTTGGTATTCTCATGTTTATTTTTTTGTTTGCATTGGAACAACATAAAAAAGCAGACATTCCACACATAACTCCAAAAATTATTGAATCATGATCATCAAAATCATGAAAAATGTATTTCCAGCATGTGATGCTCCTTTAATTTGCAATTAAACTCAACTGTAGCAATTCACCGGTGCTGGCAATTTAGAAATCACACTAACAACCTGTTAAAATGGAGAAAGGTTGACTCAACCTTAGTGTTGTATGTACCACACTGAGCATGGATGAAAGCTTGAAGAGAAAATTGTTGTTTGAGGATTTGAGAACCAATCCAGGCTTTTAACTTTTTAAGGCACGCTTGAAGTTTAGCTAACTGATTAGTTTCATCTGGTTTAATCGATAGATATAAATGGGTATCATCTGCGTAACAATGAAAGTTTATGGAGTGTTTGTAATAATCTTGACCAAAGGAAGCATACATAAGGTGAAAAGGATTTGTCCAAGCACAGAACCTTGAGGAACTCCCTGACTAACTTTGACGCACATGGAGGATTCATTGTTAACATGACAAACTGAGATAGATCTGATAAATAGGACTTAAAATTGCTCAGAGCGGTTCCTTTAATGAAATTTCAACGTTCGAGTCTCTGTAATAGGATATGATGGTCAGTGGTGATTGCTTCTGTCCATTCACCATATTATGTTTTATACTCATCATAAAACAATAAGAAACACTTTATCTTCTGTGTTCATTGTGTGTAAATATTGTAAATAATTACCATAGAAATTGTCATGACTCGTGTGCGTAAAACTTTTGATATCATATTCCCTGGATATCCCAAGAACTAGAAGAGTGTCCCATGTTTGCTACATAATTTTGTTCCTAATAACATTTGTTGCTATGACAATAAAACGTTTTCAACTGTCATACAGGTTTGAAAAGTTCCGACAAACGATGTTTTCCTGCTGATATGGATGTCCGATCAAAAAAGGCTCTTATTGTCAGAGTTTGCAGTGTGTGAGAACCAAATTGGACACTAGAGCAGGTTCAGTTCAGTGATTTAATAAATAAAAGCAAGCACACTTACAAGCAGTGGCTGAGTCCAAATAAATCCAAAGAAGGTGTAACAACAATCCAAAACAGACAAGGTACAGGAACAAACACAAGCGACAGAGCAACTACAAGCTACAATAATCCGACACAGACTGAAAGGAACACAGGCATTAAATACTAAGGCAAACGAGTGGGGCGGGATCATAAAACAGGTAGATCTCATCAATGTAAGAAACAGAATGGGAAGTAAAACTAGACACAGACAGCAAACACAGACAACTTCAGAATAAACAGGAAACAAGGCAAGACAGATGCCTATCCTAGAGCAAGGACAAGCTAAATCAAAACCTTTATTTAGTCAGAATTGATTGATTACTCATGTTACTCTATACAGACAATAAATTGGAGGCCAGTGCTGTATCATGCAGTCCCATCCCAATAGCTAGAATTCAAAATGTCATTCATAAAAAGGGATATAGTCCGTTTCTTCATTCAGACCTGTATATACTAAAGCATCAAATATGAAAATCCAATAGATATACCCTCTGCAAGGTCACCACCTCTGATAGACTTCTCAGCACATTCAGTTCCTCCTATCCTCAGATTACTACCATTGCACGCATGATATTCAGCAAAGTGTCGTGCAATAGGATAATCTAGATTTTTTTAAATTCTGATTCATAAGTAAACTCCACAACCAAACAGACATCAGACACAAGTAAAACATAACAAGATTACTCTGTAAATTATGTTGTGCAATATGCACTTATTCTGGTGGTATAGAACCAAAAATGTGCAAGTTCTTCAGAAACAGTCATCCATGTCTTTTCTTTCTAATGTAAAATATGTTAAGTATTGGTCACTTCTGAGTCATTCTGTACATTTATGCAGCATCTTATTACTCAGCATGACCACAAACTTTGCTCAAGTTAAACTTTTTCAGTTGGCCTTAATGTGTGCTGGACAGAAAAATCAGAGGATTTCTTTTATTCTATATATTTTCAAATTAAGTGATGTATTTATTTATCTCTCCCATGTCCATTTGCTTGAGCTTGTAAGTAAATAAATAAATAAGCATGATCGATCAAAAAAGTATAAATAAATTGATTAATGGGCACAAACAATTTTTCATTTATTTATTTCCACTTGTACTTTATTTATAATTATTTCCACATTTATTCATTTTCACATTTATTTATATATTTCAACAATTATTATGATATATTTATTTCATGTTTATTTCCACATTTAATGCCATGTTGCCACGCCTTCTGTGTGATAATGTGTGGTGGTCTCACACAACCTCATCATGGTCTCTCATTAGCTGATAAATCTGGGTTGGGTTGCTTGGCTTACATAGCTGAAGAGCAATACTCTGACTTGTTTTCTTTTTCCTAATCCAGACTAAACAGCTAATGAGAGCCAGGAGAGTCCATAAATAATTATGGAAATAAATATAAATAAATACATTTGAAAATCTATATATGAATAAATACAGAATAATACTATATTCTTTATTTATATGTAGTTGATCTTTTTCTGTATTTATTTTTGGCAAAGTGTATGTATGTCAATTTCGATCATTCTCATTTATTTATTTTCACTTATTGGCCCCCACAGAGGGTGAAAATGCTGAGAAATTCAATATGGATCAATAGGGAGGTCCCTAATTCCGGGGCCTGACAGGAAGTCCTATCCCACAGATACCATTACTGGAATTAATTCTGTCTGAGGATTGGAAAGGGTCACAGCAGTGTCAATGTTCAGTCAAGCTGTGACCTGACCTTTCTGACTGTCTTCATCTTCTTTAAGCCCCGACTCCTCAAGAAGACTTTGGATTGTCCCGCTAGCCTATTAGCCTGTGAGGTTGGGGGTTGGGGAGTTAACAGATTTATTGGCAGTCTGGGGGCTTTCTGTAACACTCACGAGCGATCAGCGGAAGTGTGAGTTTTGTAATCAATATTTCCAGTTTACCATGTATTTTATCAAATAACAAATTGGATACCAAAATAAATGTTGGAAGTATCACGGAAGATTCTGGGATATTTTTGTGCGTGTATATTTAATTTCTTGGAATAGGATATATGTAAAATAAGGCAATTTAACAATAAGCACAATTAGCAATTGGCACTCGACTGATTTTGGTTTTTCCGTTCCCAAAATTTCCTCCCAGCCTAGAAGTGAAATTCCACTGTTGGGCGTTAGCATTATTTTTGCCTTTATTTTTACACATTAAGTAAAAAAACTACCACTTAAGATCAAAAGAAATGTGATATGTCAAAATGTTTTCTGTGAAAAAGGCCTATGATTATTGTGTGTGTGTGTGTGCATAGATATAGATGGACAGTATACTCCCAAGTCTGTGTAACCTGTCAAGTACAATTGACTTATTCAATATTATTATCATCTGTGTTATTATGTTATTACAATTATGAATGCAGATACTTGAAGAGTAGAACACAATGGCTGCATCCTCTTGGGGTGGATCATATGTCTGCCTCCCTGGCTCCTTCCCCTTGACAAAAAACACACCATAATCAATGGGGAGTGGTGCTGGGCGAGGCTACTGCAGCTGCCTGCTTGTGATTCGCTGACATGCGCTCTAATTGGATCAAGTAGGAACTTGCTTAGCTGGATGCTTGGGCTGGGATTGGGAGCAGCCTGCAAAGAGAGCACGGACACCGCACCAGACAGGAAGAGAGGCAGAGAGGGAGGAGGCCAAAGGCTGCCCTGCTCACCACTTGGAAAGGAAAGATTGGGAGAGGAGGGGTGAAAGAAGAAAAAAGGGGGAGTATCCAATCTTCTCTGCCCTTCTGTGCTACTGCAGCCCCCCTTGCCCCTCCCTCTCTCTATGATTCTCTTTCTCTCTCTTTCCCCTTACTCATCTGTTTCTGTGGCTGCGCTGAGAGGAAGGGCACCTGCCTCTCCCTGATGATTCAGCCTTTCAGCTACTTGGAGCTCCACAGACAAGACAGCATGTCCCTCCTGCCACTGCAGTGCCTGGCTGTCCTGTCCTCTGCACTACAGCTACTGCAGCTGCAGCCGGCTCATCACGTCAATACCGCCTCTTCTGCCCAAGTGCTCAGGTGAGTGAGCGCTCATATTCCGCCACTGCTCCCCAGTAGACCATGCAGAACATTTAAGATTCTAATTCTCTGGCAATCTTTTTGTTTTTGCCCGCAGCAAATTTGACAATTCTATTTATAGACTCATGGTTGCGTTTCCTGTGAGAAAGCATGAGTAAGGAACTCCATTCCCTCATGCGCAGAAGGTTGTCTACATACCTCCCAGACTGTTAACAAGGTTCGACTCACTCTGAAGAGCATTTTTGCCTCCCTCTGGAATTCCAACTCTGACTTTGCAACCTCATGATGGAAAACATACTCGAGGAGACTGGTGACAAACAGCCACAGTGTGATGCTCTGAGTTAATAGTTGAGGTGTTCAGAGACCCTTCATCCAGCAGTTGGTAAGGATGACTGAGGGAATGGAGGACTTCTCTGCTGGGCCAGCTCCCCCTCCTGGATCAGCCTCCCCCACCAGTTCTACTGTTGATCCTGAACAAGTCCCAGAGGAGAAACCAGAGGAGACAGAGGCAGCTGGTGAGAGTGGGGAGGAGGGTGCAGAGGGAACTGCAGAGGGAGGCGGTGGCGGTGATGGGGAGCATTTGGGGGCTCTGGGAACTGTGGCCTTGCCAGGGACCTGCTGTGTGTGCATAGAGATGGAACAGATTAACAATTGCCTGCACTCTGAGAAAATCTGCATTCTGCCTATCCTGGCCTGTCTGCTTAGCTTAGCCCTCTGCACAGCTGGCCTTAAATGGGTCTTTGTGGATAAGATCTTTGAGTACGAACCACCCACACACTTAGATCCTAAACGCATTGGACAGGACCCAATTGTTATATCAGTTGACCCCACGCTGGGGCTAACTGTGTCGATTCCTCATTCATCTCCGTCTCCTGTCTCCTTGACCACCACCATCGCCATTACCCCAGGACATCCTGACGTGTTAGTGGAAGAGAAATCTACACGAGGGCCGTACGTGCCTCAGTCCCCACGAGTGACTCAGTCTGATCCCTCCGTTACACTGAAATACAACGCTGAGCGTTCCACCGTCCCAAAGCAGACTCCCCACCCTCATACAACACAGGAGTTAAACGACATCATCATCCCAACAACCTGTAAGTACCAAACACTTGTTTAGTGAAAGCACTGGGATTGGGTTTTCTTTTCAGACAGGATGTCCTTTGTTCCCAAACCGGCCTTTAACATCACAATATAGGATGTGGATATGAGATACAAGCTGGCGTCCTGCTTAACCCTGCACTCTGATTTTTATCATTGTATAAAAAGGATTGAAATGTTTTTTTTTCTGTTTTATCATTGATTACATAAATGCTGTGTTCTGTCAACTGTGCTAGGAAGTGTGTTCAGGTCTTCGCCTGAAAGCAGACAGGTTGTGACTTGCAGAGTGTAGCATCAGGGCCCATGACTAAGCCTCTGAAATATTGCTACACAGATAGGTGTGCAGGAAACAACAGTTCTATTCAAACCTACTTTACCACTGTAGTAAGTGAATATCATTTCTAACATTCACTCCTTCCTCTTTTAAGTATTAATGATCCCTTAGATTATACCACAATGATTCAGGCACACTACAATAAATGGATGTTTTTATGGTTTCATTTTGGATGTCTTAGCTGGTAGGCAGTATACAATATGGAAGATCCCTAAAATGTGTGGATGCACATTTCCAGTCAAATGAAAAAGTGAAAATCAATAAATGATGACACAGACTGAAACTCCAGGCTGTGGTACAGTGAGACTTCCTGTTTTCTGCCCGTGCTCCATTTCAAGGTCAGAGCCTGCTGGAGGCTAATTGATGCCCCCTCCACCGCAGGGAAAAACAACCCACTAATTCTGTCTGTCTGCCAGTGGCTCGCCACCATGACGTTCCTGTTGTAGTCACATCACTGTGATTTATGACACCGTATCTGGGCCGATCTAAGGTGATGGTGGTGGGTGGGGGTATATTCTGCTTTCATAATCAACCGCACGGATAGATAATCAATACTCTCTTTAGTTAACTGACTGTAACTAACAGCTGTAACTGCACAGTGGGCGAATGCTTAGTGCCAGTTACCTGCTAACAAACGTACTGAAACATTTCACATACTGGTGGTGCAGAGTCAATGTTCAAATTTTCAGCAGCTGTACTTAGTTGTTTGCTTGGGGAAGCCAGTGAGGGATAAATGGGTCTCATGCAAGAACATCTTTCTATTCTTGTCCTCCCTTCCTTTTTTCTGAGGTTTGTTTGTACAAGTGTTACAAGTCTGATTCAGCAAACACTTTAAGCCGGACAAAATTGTAAATTGTATTTATAAATTGCTCATTTATAAATAATAACAGCAAAATCGACATCCCTAAAATTGCCATATAAGTCTTCCTTTTCCTCTCCGTGTGAGGTTTCATTCACAAAAATGTTACCAAAGATAAAAAAACGAATTTCACACTGTGGAGCTTCAAGTCCTGCTGTTAGACATCAGCAGACAAAAAGATAACAGATGTAGCAGTCATATTTATCAGGAGTCATATATGACGACCTGAAACAATAGAAATTAATAATGATAAAACTGTCAAGGAGAGCATAACAAGTGAAGTGACAAGCTGCTAAAAGCAAAGTGGTCCTTGATTAATCTGAGAGGAGGTCATGTGACTGTCGCAGAGATATTAGACAAGAGATTACTAAAGCCTGCATCAGGTGATGTTACACTGCCAGGAGAAGCAGAGGACGATGCTGGACAGAAACCTGCATAATGACCCTGAGCCAATCTCTCTAACTACTGAATTGTAGAAGTTACTGTGCTGAAACAAGCCTCAGTAAATGGGCAAGCCATTAGGCCGACGATCTGTTTTAATTCTATACTTTATTTTAGTTGATTGCAGTATCATGTTTGAACTCAAACTCAATTCAGTCAGATTAAAGGAAGAATGATTTTAAATCAAACTTGTGTTTATTTTCTGTGTAGAAGGCAGACTAAATGTACATGACATAGTGATGGTACATTGGGACAAATCAGTTCGTATAAGTGGTTCTTTCACGTAGCCCGTTGTCTTGTTGCTGCAGGAGCAACTCCTGCTAGTTGGTCAGGTACTTGTGGGAATAATTTGAAGGCTTTAGTATGCTTTAAATGCCCTAGTTCTGATGTACATTCCCAATCTCTCCCTCAGATCTATTTTGCCCGATGAATCGTACAAATGGGCATAATGGCACACAATTTCAGACAGCCTCTCCTCAAAGGCAAGTGACACAAGTAGCTGTGTGAAGAGTAAAAAAAGAGAGCTTGAGAGAAAAGTTCAAACCTCACCTACTGTCACACATCCACACATGCCAGTCACTGCGTAAAGTGGGCATGACTGTTGGATTGTTTCTTTCGGAAAGTTCTGAAACCGTTGGACGCCCAATTCTGCTATTGGAAAGGGGGATGCTGACATGGTGGATGGTCTGAAAAGCACTTTCTTTGAAGCACGCTAGCGCCGTGAACCTCTCGCATGTTACCCAGTTGAGAAGCTCCTGCTGGAAGGTGTAAAGCAGTGTTTAGTGACACCATGTGTCAGGGAGGAAGCACATGGCTGCCTACAACCAGGCCAGCCAAGTCTGACGCTAGACAGATTGTGATATGAGATGATGCTGCAAAACTTCAGATGATGTTTAACGTCATCATGTCTTAACATCCAATGCCAGCCAATTTGACAACAATGGGAATGATTAGTGTTCGGGAAATCTTGTGGAAATGGTTAATAAACTGGGTTAGGCACCTAAACACTTGGTTTTACCCTGTGGAGTTGTTTCACCACTAGTAGTAATATGGAGCTATGTTTTCATGAGAGGGTCGCCATGTTGTTTGTAATATGCTTGTGTGATGACGTGGTTGGTGTAATTTACATCCTGCTTTTGGTTTCACATTATTCTGCTGATTGACAGTTGGTCAAGTCAATCTTATTTATATAGCCCAATATCCCAAATCACAACATTTCCTCACACCCATCGGCTGTCATCTGCCAATTGCCAATTTAGCCTGTGGGAGCAACGGCCAATGTTTCAGGGCCTCTGGTGTAGCCAGCAGATATCGGGGATAATGGATATCTGAACCAAGACTTCTTTGTTCATGTGTCGGCCATTGTTTACAATCCGATTAGCAATCCCATCAACAGAACCAATCAGCTATCATCTGACGACAATTTCAATGCAGATAAATAAAAGTCTCATTTTTAGGGCTCTGAGATTGATAGAAAGCTATCATCATCATAGCCGATGGGTTCCAAGATTGCATTTCGGCCAATGCGTTCCGCCTCTTTTGTTCTCCACATGGACTGTTTACCTGCATGCAACCAAAGCCCATTCAAACGTGATTGGACAGTAATACTCGGACAAATACTAAAGAGAGATTTCTGCTGCATCCCAAGTGGTTTTGGTTACTTTCGGTTTCTGTGTTGTGTTCTGTGTTGGTCAAACGTAAATTACCATGAAGGGGAAAATACCAGCGGAGCAATAACGTAACGCACAGCAGAGTATAGGGCAGGTAGCTTCAAAAAAATATTATGAATTCATTAAATGATGACTTTAGTCTGGTAATGTTATGACATTTTTTTTGTCAAAGAACACATGCGTGGGAGAAATTCTGCATGTTCTGAAAGTTTTGAACATGAGCAGATAACCTCCTGAAACACAGGAGCTGTTAAAGTCCAGGAGTTTATAACTGACGCCCCAATTTAATATCTCGTCTAGGGCGCAAACATTTTCAGGGCCGGCCTTTTGTAGCCTAATTCTATAAATGACAGGGTTACATAGGGTTACTAAGACCAGTTTGGTAGCCTGATTATTCAACTAGGAAGGAGATTTTGAGCTAAGTTATTAGAAAATCCTAAAAAGTGATGTGCATTGCTGTCTGCCACTACAAACAAATGGTGCCAAAGACAGTTTTCAAATCCTAGACATTGTTTTTTATTATGGATTAATTAACATGTAAACATCATTTAATGTACCTGGTAGAGGAGGAGTTAGTTCTACTGTAATATTTTTATATTAACATTGGTTCAAATGACTGTGGAATGTGAAAGGTGTTGCTAAGCAGTGATGACCCCACAGAGAATGACCACTTCTGCAGCTTTTTACCTCACAGCTTTATTTTCTTTTACAATCCTTAGCTCTACTGTAGGGTTCAATCTCTGCGCTCTCATCAACCTGGCAGCAGGCACATGTTTTCAGCTCTGATAAAGCCACAGTACATGACCTGCTCAGCAGCAAACAGCAGACAGACAGTTAGAAACTCGCTGGTGAACTTAGTGGAGCATTTAGCTGCTAAAGAGAGAACGAAAACCAAATGCCCCTAAAGGTTTTAAGTTTATGTTGTAGAAAGCCCTGGTAGCCATGGAAATTATGACTCCTGTCCGTGGGAATTGAATGCATCTATACAAAGGTGGCTACATCTGTAAGTGCTTTATGTCTTTTCATTTTGGTCCTACATCAACACCAAGTTGTCATACCAAAGAAGTGGAAAAGTGAAGACATGAACTGTATTTATGAATGAACTTCATTCTTAGGACAGACATGAGTCGCGTGTGTGCATCATAGTGTCAAACCAACAGGATCAGCTGAGTTGTGGAAATTCTATTTTTATAATTTAAAATGTAATATACTTATAATATAAACACAGTACTTTAGGGCATCCTAGTGCACTGTGCAGGAGATGAAGTGAATCTGCAGCTCCAGTTTCAGAGTAAGCGTGTGAAATTCTCATACTTGTAACGCTTTCTTTTTTCCTTGGAAGTGAGAAGTTTGTGTCCTAATGAAAACTTGTGCTAGAAACACACAAAAACACCTTGTTGGTCTCAGTGTGCATGGTTTCTGTGATCAATTCTTTTTTTAAAGACAGATTTTACAAAATGCATACAGACTTGGCATGCAAATTCATTAAGAGAAACACAAAATCTTACCTAAACCTTCAGTGGTGTAACTCCTCACCTTGCTGCAGTGATGCAGAAGTGTACGCATGTTAGTATGTTGGGTGTGGTCAGAGGTGAAACACACTTTAAACTTTCAACCAGAAAAGGTCAGTGAAACACTTCCTATTGGCCTCGGAAACAGCAGAGTTTGTGTCATGACCAAACAACTAGTGTC